TATATTATCCTCCTGTAAACATATTATCAGGGAGAGTCACAGGAAAAAAAATTTACAACCAAGTGTTTGCATGTAAAGATCCATGACTTTGAAGGGCATGTGACAGAGGTCCTGGATCAAGTAACAACCACAAGTGCCTAGTCTTGTTTCTTTTCTATGGAAAATGATTGGGAGAAAAAGGTGTACCTAGTTAAAATGCTCTGCATCTTCCACAGAAATAAAATATGAAAACAGGCCATTTATTTAATTCCCAAATAATTCATTCACTTGATCTACTTAATGTAACATATACCTATAAATTTTAACGTGGTACCACTGAAGATGAGTCAAAAGAAAACACATGAACTACAGTAAAAGAAATAAAAAATTTACTCTAATGGAAATGTCTACTATCAAAATCATCCCATTACCTGAGAACTCAGTACACCTATCTTAATATGTCTGATGTATTATTCCATGTCAGACTATTTGAAAGAGAAACTCAAACACAAGTATATACTAAGATAAAGTTTTAAAACTGTCCAATCCAGGTTCTACTTTCATTCCTCTTTACAAGTTTGTGTCTCAGAATTTCTTGTATTTCCCATATTGCAATATATTTTTAAAATTACATTCGAAGGATGTGCTCCTGCAACATTCTGAATCAACTCCCTAATAGTTCCTCTGCTTCAGACATATAGTTACTTAAACTACAACTAGTTAACACATAAAGTGACACTGTGAAGAATGATGAAACAAAATGCAAATAACTGGGCTCATAATATGTACAATACATAACTCCTTTTCATTCCTTGTTAGACTCATCACCCATCGAATTAGTGTCTTGAAAAGTCAGAAAAATGACTTAGGAATAAAGACCCTTTTAAATGAATATTCAGAAGGAAAAACAACTCATGGTTCCTCATCACACTGATGAAAGTAGACATAATGCCATTAATTAATTCATTCATTCATTCACTCACTCACTCAACTCACACCTTGGAAGGCTTCTTAGTATCTGTCATTGTGTTAAAGTATCTCAAACCTTAAGAGCTTATACACTGGAAAACCATAATGGATAAACAGACCTCACC